CATTTATGAAGGATGTATTTCACTCACAAATGGCGAGTGCTCCGTATTAGCGTGCAAAAATTTGAAATGGATACATCAGGGCTGCAATCCCGTGTACAGAGTATGGATGTTACACTGGGAGGCGCGTAGGGGAAGGTGCGATCATTGACGGGTAAAAGTAATTGGGGGACGAATTCCATTTTCCCAAATTTGCCTGGGAAAGTGGAATGACCCTTACCCTGGAATTATGCTTTTTGTGGAGGGGTAAAAAAAATATCCAAGTACTAGCATTATGGGTATTACCTAGGGATGCACCGATACTACTTTTTGAAGACCGAGTACCGATACTTTTGATCAAGTACTCACAGATACCAATTTCAGATACTTTTTCTTAAAGGGAATCGAGAGAGCATGGAGCCATTTCCTGGCCAATCAGGAAACCAGGCAGCGTGTAATGATGCGCTGCCCGGCTTCCTGATACAGGAAGTACTCGTGCTAGGTATCGGAGCATTTGGGCGAGTATGATTACTCACCCAAATACTCGGTATCGGCACCGATACTAGTATCAGTATCGGTGCATCCCTAGTATTACCCATCAAAATACGGTTCATATTTTTGCGATCGTGGGGCTTAAACCTTTTCGTCACCTTGAAGTTTTTTTCACACATTTATCATTCATATTCTAGGCCTGAAAATGACTTAAAACCCCGGAGATATATATATTTGTAATATGTAAAATAACATGACTTAAAATGTCCGGGTGGCTATAGCTGCCGGGAGTCTGTCTACAAGGGCCCGCAGCCACCGCCATAAGAGATACAGCGCTGGCAGTGAAAGGGTTAAACTGAAATGAAGAATGTCAAGTACAACTGAGCAACACACATTTACTTTGAAGGAGGACGGCAGCTAAGGCTGGAATAGATTATAAGAGCTTTTATCTGTCATGTATATGAGGTCTTGTGAGCCACCACCTGCCACTTTCTTCATGTAATTATACAAATGAAGTAATTCTTCCAGCTTGTAGTGAATTAGAATAAGGCTCCATTCACACTTGAGCTGAGCGTCTTTGGGTGTTTTTTTCAGGCCTTTAGTGTTTGTACAGGCGTTTTTAAAGTGATCTATTGCTGCAGGCCGGAGCTGGACAGGACTGTTTTAAAACGCTGGGACAAATGGCCGCCATCCTAACGCTATTTTAAAACAGCTGCTGGTGCTTAAAGTAACATTAAAGTCAAAAAATGTTTCCCCCCCATGTTGGTGTATGCACTTACCTTACATGATGCCTCTTGATCCGATCATCATCTTCTTTGCTGTCGTTTTCATCTGTCCCTCCAGTGCTGGTGCCGGTCTCTGATCCAGCGCTGACTGGTGTGTCTTCTGTGTCCCATGGTATCTGTGCGGGTGCACGCTGCCTGCATTGACTTACCTTGTGTTTCTCCCCGTCTCCTGGCCGAAGATCTGAACTGCGCATGCGCCGCCCCATGTTTATTTTCGGCTGCCCAAGAATCTTCAGATCTTCGGATAGGAGCGTGTGGCGGAGCACAGGTTTCGGTAACTTTTTTTTTTTCTTTTTTCAAAAAAAATGTGTTTGCATACATCTACTGCTTACTGCTAGCAGTAGATATATGCAAACAATCTTCGGGGGATTAAATACCCTTTTAAGTGGTTAAAGGGTCATTTCATCCGAGACCGTAGATACAGATGGAGGCTGGAAGTCTGATACCTGACTTTTCTCTACTGCAGTTAATACACCTAGGTGTTGTCCGTGCTCACAGCCTTCGATTGGACAGTGAAGGAGAAGAAGCAGACTGGTGAGGTCATCTCTGTCAGTCTGCTCTCTTCCTGTCAGCAGTAGTGTGCGCTGCCGGTGTCAATGTGCCCTACAATCTCATTACTAAAGTCCTTGAGAGATGTACACTATCATGCCATTGTCTCCCAGATCCTAATAGCACTGACCTATTTCAGTTTGGAGTTCTTCTGCATGTGGCCCTAACCTGCTGAGTTTCTATCTTTTACCAGAATTTACCAGAATTTTCCGATTTTGTATTCTTTGCGGCAGCTCTGAACCCACAACAACACAGACAAAAGCGGCTGTCAGACAAGCACATTTCCTTCATTCAGCAACTGATGCTGCAGCAGATGGTACAAAGAGCAAAACCTGAACAGAGTATTGCTCTAAAAAGGGCATTGTCATGGCAACTGAACAATCCGAGTTATTATAATACTGACGCAACACTCTAATGCAAACTTCCAAAGGGAGATAAATATTCTGATCTGTCTGGAATTTAAGAGAATTGGTTAGCATTTAATGAATGTATTTGACAAGCTGTGCCCTCCTTATCGCCTGGCTACATCATTAAATTAACCACGTCCTTTATCTCTAATCCTTCGTCACTGGGGATTGATTCATTACAACTAGAGAAATTGAGAACAGAGATACTTGTCCACAACAACCAGAGTTCTCATTCTTTTGTATCAAATGACATTGGACACGTATTTTGGTTGCTTTTAATAAGTTTTCCTTTAATTTTTTTTTCTCCTTTGCCCACTTATAAAGAATTGTCCCCTAAAATGCGTGTAAATACAACTTTGTATTTTGGTTTTGGATAGAGTAGAGAGTGATTAAAGGGGTGTGGACATTTTTTAAATAACTACTTGTCCAAGGACTAAAGTGGGGGCCCAAACTACTGTCCCTCATGACAATCTATGGTCCTCATACAAAAATGTTTTTAACCGTACTTCACCATGCTAAGAAGCGCTTCACATTGGTAAGCAAGCGAAATTCAAAATCCACAGTGCAGGGCTGCGCTGGATGGCAGTATAGGGTACAGATAGTACACCCGTACTGGAGGAGGGGATGGACCGTTCGCCGAAAGGTAAGTATAGCAGGGAGGTAGGAGGGGTCCAGATTTGAGTGAGTAGTTCCATTTTCCCACTTGGGAAAGCGAACTTACCCTTCAATGCACATTGTGCGTGTTTAAAGAGTGCTCCTGCCCGGCTACCACAATATGACAAAGTGAAATGGGGGCAGCACTACACACACAGACACACAATGCCCATTCACTTGCAGATAGCAGGGGCGACGGGGTTGGTTTTAAAATTATATATGAGAGAGAGAGAGAGAGAGAGAGATGAGGGCCCCCCTCCCCTGGTTAAGAAGGGAATTGCCTGATTTGACCTTTTTGTTGGGGTCTATCAATAAGGTGAGCACCCCTATATATGGTGTGGTACACGTGGTGCATTTCGTGAAGGAACAAGAAATATTCATCACTATTGCTATATATGGACTTTTGTCCCCCATGGTCAGCGTGTGTGTTGCAAAGTAGCCATTGCTCCAAGCTTTCTACCATGATGGACTACATTTTCACTTTTAGTTTACCAATTTGTATTGAGATTGTAGTCCATCATGGTAGAAAGCTTGGAGCGATGGCTACTTTACTACACACACGCTGACCATGGGGAACAAAAGTAGTCACCCCAGGAAATCGGCCTTCATGCTGTAAAGCTTTTTGAATTAAGCCCTATGTCTTCTGTAGTTTTTAACAGGAGGTAGATGCATGGAAGCATGATGTAGCCACTTGTATGGTGGCCTTTTGTATTTTTAGAAATCGGTGCTGCTATTCATAACCAAGTATCGATAATTCAGCGCTTTAAGTTCTGCTCAGCAATTTTCCACTGCGTTGAAGTACAGCCACCAAATTGTAAATCAGATGTTGGACAGTTGTGGCTTTCAATTATGACTGCCAACCTTGTGTTGTCACCTTGCTGAGCCCTAGGAACAAAAGTGGCACCATCCATAGATCTTCACTGTCATTGACAGGAGACATTGCGCTCACCCTGGGTCACCTTTGCTCATCTCTGAAGGTTAGGGAAGATTGGTTAAAGGAACAGTTAATTATTTCACCTGGTAGTACAATTTGTCACGGGTTTTCTTTAAGGTGAGCACATCTTCATCTCAATTCTCAAATGATTTGTTTTAGCTCCTCTTGGATACTGAGTATTTCTATATTTGCACAATACACTGCAAGTATGTCTTTATTGTTCATAATTTGCAAAACTCTCTTAGCATCATATCAGTATTGGTTTGAAGATGATGTTTGTCACAAGGGTTAGAGCTGACCATCATACCCTATGCCAGGGTTAGCCAAACTTCGACCCTATACTACAAGTCCCATAGGGCATTAGAAGTCTGACAGCCACAGGCACGACTTTCAGAGGCAGATGCATGATTTGTCATGCATTTGTAGTTTCACCACTGGTGGAGCGCCCAAATTTGGCTACCCTGCCTTATTCAGTATGATTTGTAAAGGCTTCCCTAATATTTACCATAAACTGTAAAGGCCTGCCTGATTTTATACAAATGAAATGGATTGTTTAGGTGTGACCTTGTATCGCATAGTTTGGGTAAATATTAAGGAGGTTCTACAGAGATTATACAATCAGATGTTCAAGTATATGACCAGCTTAAAAGGGAGCAGAAATCCACAGTTTTGCAGATGTCACCAGCACAGAATTAGAGGGAATGCCTTCCAAAGAGGGACACCATGTCTGGTGACAACTGTTAACAGAAACATATTTTTGGGAAGATATCTGTTCTGTTACTGCCATGTCTCTGTTACAGGAAGTGGAGGCAGATCTCGCAGGGTCACATACTTCAATATAAAAACCATACAGAGATTACAACCCATCTAAACTATCCAAAATTGGATGGAGTTCTTCTTGGTAACATTCCTTTTCATGTGGGAGCTATGTGTTATGTTGTTCATCATAGAGAGTCTCAATTCTGCCCAAACTCCAAGCCTTTTAGAATATTATTTGGCAAGCATTGTACGGGATAATGATTCCTTCCTGTGTGTACACGGTAAATATACTTTAGTTTCCTGCACTGTTGCTATATAAATATTTAAATGTTCTTGATGGCTTGAGCTGCTTGTCATATAATTGGGAATTTGGAAACCTTGTATTGCATAGATGCATGCAGTATGTATTGGTGGAATTTGCAGAAGGATGAAAAAGATTTAAGCAGATCAAATGATCCATCTGTATTTAGAATGCAGTATGTTGAAAGAAGATTTAGACGATTTAAAGGCCTGCAGCCTGGGAATTAATGTGGCTGTTTCTCATTGTGAATGCTTCTCATCGGAATGCTAAGGAACAACTTTGTTACAAAAGTTTCCAGTCATTAGTACTTTTAAATGCTACTAATTATGAAAGGCTGTTCTCATTAACCATAAAGAGCATTACTGCATTATGTTGCAACATTCTGATACCATTCAAATCTCAAATTGCTTTCAGTATATATTTGTTAATGCAATAAATCCTATGGCTCAAATAAAAAAAAACGTTTGGAAGTATACCGAAATTAACTAGTATCTGAGGCATGCATGAGAAAGGTGGTTCATTTAGAAACCTCCTCTTCTGGGGAAAAAAAATAAAATGCTTTTATCCTCCCATCTATCCCCTGCTTTTTAAAAGCTTTATTCAAGTAGATGCTGCATTTTACTAGTACCGTGAGAAGTTTAAAGTAGACAAATGAGAACTGGGGTTGCAAAAGCAAAGGGTCGGGGCCCTGCACTGCTTCCCTCTTTTCTCTAGACTACATATCCCGTAATGCATTGCTTCCAACAAGCAATAATTGTTACATTCCACAGCCATTGAGTTGTAGTTCAGAAGGCAGGCTCTGAGAATTGTGACGGCAGGAGCTAAGTAAAATTGTGTCAGTGCTTTGAGGTGAAGTACATCCTATGGGCATCTTCAGTAAGTAAGTTTACAAACTTCTAGATTCATATGGTTATTAGGAGTGGGATATAACTTATAGAAAGTCAATACAGAAATATATACACCGGCCACTTTATTAGGTACACCTTGCTAGTACTGGGTTGGACCCCCCTTTTGCCTTCAGAACTGCCTTTTAATTCTTCGTGGCATTGATTCAACAAGGTGTTGCTAACATCCCTCAGAGATTTTGGTCCATATTGACATGATAGCATCACGGGCCCAAAGTGTGCCAAGAAAATATGCCCCACACCATTACACCACCAGCCTGAACCGTTGATAGAAGGCAGGATGGATCCATGCTTTCATGTTGTTTGTGCCAAATTCTGACCCGACCATCTGAATGTCGCAGCTGAAATTGAGACTCATCAGACCAGGCAACGTTTTTCCAATCTTCTATTGTCCAATTTTGGTGAGCCTGTACGATTTTGTAGCCCCCGTTTCCTGTTCCTAGCTGACAGGAGTGGCACTCGGTGTGGTCTTCTGCTGCTGTAGCCCATCTGCTTCAAGGTTCGACGTGTTATGCGCTCAGAGATGGTATTCTGCATTCCTCGGATGTAACGATTGGTTATTTGAGTTATTGCTGCCTTTCTATCCTCTCGAACCAGTCTGCCCATTCTCCTCTGACATGAACAAGGCATTTTCGTCCACACAACTGCCACTCACTGGATATTTTCTCTTTTCGGACCATTCTCTGTAAACCTTAGAGATGGCTGTGTGAAATACTCAGACCAGCCCATCTGGCGCCAACAACCATGCCACGTTCAAAGTCACTTAAATCCCCTTTCTTCCCCATTCTGATGCTCAGTTTGAACTTCAGCAAGTCGTCTTCACCACGTCTAGATGCCTAAATGCATTGAGTTGATGTCATGTGATTGGCGGATTAGCAACTTGTGTTACCAAGCAATTGAACAGGTGTACCTAATAAAGTGGCCGGTAACTGTATATACATTTTTTCGTTTTTGACCATGGTCAAAAACTAAAAATAAATATGTATTTCTGTGTTGACTTTTTGACTTTCACAAGTTCTATCCCACTCCTAATAACCATATCAATCTAAAAGCATGTAAACCTACTTATTGATCATGCCCATAATCTCAGGATTGCTGTAGGTTTTCAGCGTGACACCAGTGTGTGGGTAGGTTGGATGCAGTGCTACAGGCTTTCAGAATTTAGCTGCACCTAACTGGTGGAACCAATCATTTTAGTAGCTGCTGTATGTGGATTGCACATGGTTGCTGCATGTTGCCATTGGAAAAAACTCCCCTCTGTCTAGCTGATGTTGTATAAGGGGACAGTAACTTCCATCACCACTTGACCAGAAAATGTTGAATGACATGTTGTCACAGCCTGTAACAGCAAACATGTCTGTGATCACTATTGGGAGCTTCCACTCGTACTGATCATTGTAAAGCTACCATTCCAAATACATTGGAGAGATTTACCCAGCAACTGACATATTTTTGCTGAACTGTCTATTATTCAGATGCATCTTTATGAACTTTGTTGCAACATAATTAGAGCATAAACTTGTACTTATATTTCTAATGATTCCTGGTCACAAGTGTACTGATTGCCCAGTATGAAAGTTTTTGGATGTGCGTGTTTTATAGGCAAGGTTGTATTGTTAAAGTAGTATTAAACACTTTTATTTATTACAGGTATTCCTATAGCGCCGACAATTTACGCAGCACTTTACATAGTAGCACATTCACACCGGTCCCTACCCTCAAGGAGCTTACAATCTAAGGTCCCTATCTCACATGCATACATAGAGGGCCAACTTAGAGAGGAGCCAATTAACCTACCAGCATGTCTTTGGAGTGTGGGAGGAAACCAAAGTACCCGGAGGAAACCCACACAAGCACAGGGAGAGCATGCAAACTCCTTGCAGATAGTGGACCTGGCCGGGATTACTTACACATTAGTTAGCTTTTTTTAGATAAATGCAAAAGTAATGAATAACATGACACATTGCAGTTTTTATTCTATGTGTGGCAAAAAAAAAACCATCCTGCCATACACCGCCGCTAGGTGCGTGCAGGTCAACAGCAGTGCTTCCCCAAACTTCTGGGTAGTGGAGCGTAGGATTTTTGAAGACTTATTAATAACATATATAGTGCTTGAGCCGCCCTTCTATTTTTTTTTTCTTATTTGTATATGTACTAGCAAGTGTTTGGGTCTGTGCTGCAGAGCAGACATTTAATAAACCTGTCAGAGAGATCCATTGCCAAATTATTATTATTATTTTATGGTTGTTTTTCACATTATATGCCTTTTTGTGTCTTATGAAATCCTAGTGATTAGTTCTTGAAATGAGTTGTAACATTTGGAACAGCTTTTGTGTATCACATATACTGACTCAACAGCTAAGAGTATCCAAAAATTATTCTGAAATGTAGGCATCTATGCATTTAAATATAGACTGCATTTCTTCTTGTTTTATCTGTTTTTGTTAATACTTATTATTTCAGAATACTGTTTGGTTAATGTTTTATAGATGCCGAAAAAAGCACTGGAAAACAGATTTACCAGCAACAAGTGTTGTCATAACTTTTCATAATGAGGCCAGGTCTGCCTTACTCCGCACTGTTGTCAGGTAAGTAAATGGTTTAATTTTTTTTTAATCTCATTCATTTTAGATTTCTTGGAAAATCTAGTTTTCAAGTAAACCTG